TATATAGGCTGCGTTCCGATATTTACTGTAAGTACTGATAATGTGACGTCATTTAGTCGAGCTGTAAGAGCGTTCCGTTATTGCTGACGCTACTTTTTTCGTGTGTAGCGCTGCAATAACGGAACGATATTTGCAGTAACTGTAGACCTGTATGACAGATGTAATAACCTTATTTATCGTTAGAATGGATACACATAATCTTGCACTAATATTTGAACTTTCAAAATCTTTGATAGAATCGGATGATTCTTTAGAAGAAGATGAAGCAGACATATTATCTTTATTAGTAATTAAAGAAACCTACTATCGAATACCACGTATGCGTTGCCAAAAATACGTTGAAAATGTTGTGTCATTGTATACAGATGAAGAATTTCAGATGCACTTTCGGTAAGTAAATAAGAAATACAAGAAAAAATTTTAAAAATGTTGTGAAAAATGATTATTAGTGTAGTTTAGATTTAGATTAGGTTAGGTTACAGTGATAGAAAGTATCTTTCTTTGCAATTTTAACAGATTTCAGAACATTTATATTGCATAATAAATTAAATATCTATTGTTATCTAATATTATAATAAAAAAATTACATAAAATTGTACAGAAAAAGAGGGTATTATTGATCTATTTATATAGTAAAAAGGAAAACTACAATTAAAATAATTTTTTTTGGTTTAGAATAAAACGAAATACTTTCCAGTTTTTACTAGAATTATTAAGGCCAAATCTGTGTAAACAAAGCAATAGATTTGGAAGGAAACCAATAACACCTGAAAAACAATTACTCGTTGCTATTTGGATGATGGCTACACCAAATTCGTATAGGTAAGCAATATACATATAAATTATTAAATTATACTTATAAATTTGTATTAATAATAGTTAATAAATAAATTATGTTTATAGATGTGTTTCAGACAGATTTGATGTAGGTAAAGCTACTGCATGGCGAAGTGTGCATAGAGTTGTTAATGCCTTGTATGCAAAAGTAAGAATGTTCATTCGTTGGCCAACTATGCAAGAAGCAGAACAAACTATGCAAAAGATCGAGCAATTGTATGGTTTCCCAGGTGTTATTGGTGCAATAGATGGGACTCACATAAAAATTAATGCACCAAAAGATAATAGTGATTCATATGTAAATAGAAAAGGCTATCATTCTATTCAATTACAAGTAAGTTTTGTATTAATATGTAATATTGAAATTAATATAAGTTTTAATTAATAGGATTCGACTATTTTTAATTAACTATAATTTTTTTAAACTTTTAGGTTATTTGTGATGCACAATTACGATTTGTTCATTGTTACACAGGACAAGTTGGTTCAGTTCACGACATGCGCGTTTTTAGATTATCTAACGTCGAGAGCTTGTTTACAGATGCAAATTTTCCAGATAATAGCCATATACTTGGGGATGCAGCATATTGTATAAGAAAACATGTTATGGTACCATTCAAAGATAATGGTCATTTATCCGAAAGACAACTAAATTTTAACAAACGTCTTTCTACTGCCAGAACAATCGTTGAACGATCATTAGGTTTATTAAAAGGTCGTTTTAGAAGTATTTTGGACACACTTCCTATGCAGAGAACAGACTTAATTCCCAAGTATATTGTTGCGTGCTGTATTTTGCACAATATCTGTTTATTGCATAATGATATGATAGATATTCCTGTTATTGTTAATGATAATATTAATATAGCACAAGAAGCAGAAATATTAGAAAACAATGCTGCAAAAAGAGAGGGTGAAGAAAAAAGAAACGCAATTATGTATTTATTGCCAAATATTTAATGTTGCAAAAATAAAACTTATAATTAAGAAAAATGTAGAAAAGAATTATTACATATCACATCTCTTTTCTGATTCTTATATATCCTTATATCCTTATATCATATATCCTATTCTTATATATATATTCCAATGTCGCATTTATATCTATTTCAATCATATGAATAACAAAATATACTATTCGAATTTAGGTTCAACAAAAATAAAATCTGTAATCAGCAATCTATATATCACATAAACTATCATGTCAGTCTTATATATATCACATAAAATAGGAACTATCATAACTAAAACAATATGTAGACATGACTAAATATTTTGACTTTGTTAACATAAAATAAAAATTTCTTTTTACTTCTCTTACTGATTAATGTAGTAACTTAATTATTTTCTTTTTGTAATACTTGTTCTAATAGATTTTCTATTCGTTTAAAAGCTGTTAATCTTTCTTCATGCTGTCTTTCCCGAATTTGTTGTCTTTTTTTTTGTTCTTCCTTAGCATGTAACATATATTCTTCAATAGTTGCACTTAACTTCCTTCTTTTAATATCTGTGAAATTATACATATAGAATGCTTTGTAAGTTGTTTTATATGCAAAATATGTTCCATCTTACGTTTTGCTGGTAATGTATTTTCTTCTTCTTCNGTTTCTGTCACATGTGATCCTGCTATTGATAACGGTTGTGCCCAAGGCTTATCTGCAAATAATTCTTGCATAATCTGAAACAAAGTACATAATTTAAAATATACAATAGGTTATATATTTTTACATAAAAATAAATGAAGATATATTATACCTGAAAATATTCCCAATCCTTCCGATTATTCCCACTTTTATTATTATGATCTAATATATTTTTATATGTTNGTTTCAAAGCTTGAAATTTTGTGGAGCATTTAATCCCTGNTATATTATATCCTTTTTCTTGCATAATACTAGCAATTTTCTCCCAATATTTTTTCACTGTACCTTTTCCTTTACGAAATTCATCTTGGTGTTCGTCAAATAAATTTAACAATAATAACGTTTCTTCTCTGGTCCAAAGATGTGTACCTGCAATTAAAGAAGTATAATGTTTTCTATATTTGACATGCAAATTTGTGAATGTCTTTAAAGATTTGATCAGTAATCAACATGTGCATATGAACAATATAAATCTATAATCTAATTTAATAATTCTCAATGTTATCACTGGTATTGCAGGTTAGGTTAACAATTATAAAGATATATAATAGTAGTAAAAGATATATAATTATACAAGATATATAATAGTAGTAAAATCGCAATTTGAAAACTATTTTATGGTAATATAAATGTAGACTATTTTTACAAATGTTTCTACGATTTTAAATTATACAATAATAAATGTTTTACCGTCCGTGTTTTCATTAATACTTTCATCACTGATACTGGTAGTTGCTAAAATAGATAAAATCATGTAACATAATTAATATTTTTTATTCATTGTATATTACATTTACATTTACAATACTTACATTCACTGGTAGATATGTTACAATCCACGGGTTGTATAATGTTGTGTTTTATTTTTGCTTGCTTTAACAATAACGTTGCAAAATTTAAATCTGTAAAAAAAATTAGTAAAAATAGTATTCATAATTATCACAAGATCGAGATTAGTAATTGCATTCTTACCATTTCGTGCTCTAGTTGCATCCTCACTACTTACGATTAATTTATAATCTTTATTATTTTCTGCATCTATCAGATATATGGTTTCCATCGTTTCCAAGGGAGCAGCCATGTTTTTACTGCGAATGCTTCACCTCGCGAGCCGCAGTAATGAAAGCAGGAAGTGACGACAAAATCTATGACGTCATATAAACACAAAACTGCTTTGACAGCTTACTTTCGCGAATATCGGAACGGCATTCGCAGTACTGCCAGTACTGCTAGTGAATATCGGAACGCAGCCATAGTAGAATGAGAGGTTCATCAGAGAGTCAAAATTTCGACTCGGGTCGTTTCTTTATCTAAAACCTGCACTGATTTCCAGTCAAAATTATGTCCAGTGGTCAAACCATGTTCAGATAATACTGACGTTTTGGACTTCTTTTTAACGTAATTTATATTCTTTTTAACGTAATTTATACTCTTTTTAACGTAAATTAATTTAAAATTAATTTACGCGCTATAAACCGAACTGGTTTTATCACGCATGTACTGTGGCGTTGAACGCCAATAGATTACGCGCGCTGTTGTCTCGTAACAAAATAAAATCGTTGACCTTTAGGCTTCGCGCAAAACACTTCCTCGTGTATTATAATATATCGTACTTACGTGGTTTAGAATAAACTGTTGCTGTCCCAGAAATAGACGCACGTGCATCTTTGTAAATATATTTATTTACCACTTTGCCTCCGGTGTTGCGAGCACGTTAACGCATTAACCGTGAACTCGTGCGTAAATTTCCTACTGGAGATATCGCGCGATAACTAGCCGATTGATTTAACGATAGAGAGGAGGTGCATTTTTAAAGGAATATTTCTCGTTATTACCGCGCGCATCAGCTTGAACCTTAGTTTTATCACAGATGGTTGCGATCTCAATTTTGCGCACCTGATATTGTTCTAGTGAGATTAGAATCTGTTTTTGTTAAGTTTCATTTTTTTTTTTTTAATTTAATTTAGAGCAGTTATCGTTCATGATTGCAAAAGACATGAAGAACAAATAAAAACAATAATATCTCCTTTGAATTTTTTTATAATTCGATATCATATTGGGACGATTTATTTCGAACGCAAGTTACCTAAACGCAACTACATCGCAAAGTTAAACGTATAATCGAGTTTCCAATAGCGGCCCATATAAGGTCTTCTAACTTACATGAGTTCGAAGCCAGCCAATTTACGTTGTGCAAAGTTTACTTGTGCCTGATATATGATTAAAGATTACGCACACCGAAAAAATTGTATTCTTGTTTTGAGGATATCCCACTTACTTTAAGTATATTTTATACTAAAATAGGCGCCAAAAAGAGTTTCTTATTTTAAGAGGAAAATCCTCTAAATAGTAATATTGATAAGAATATATACTGATTAGAATATAT